AAAAAAAATAAATCATAACTAAATTTATGCTATTTTTAAGCTAAAATTGTTACACGAACTCTACAGTTTAAGGGATAACAATATTTTTGAAAAAATTTAAGATTCGGAATGTATACCTATCAATTAATTCTTTGGTTATAATTTTAATTCAAATAAAAACAATAAATCAATTTTTTCTATAAATAATTTGACTATATTATTGTAATGTTATTTTAATATTACAATATTATTGTAAAATTTAATAATCATATTACATAACGGACCTATGGTCCATTATGTCATGTAATAAAGAGCCAAATTATTATAATAATTACCGTAGTCTAAATGATCCTCATTATAAATTTTTCAAATAGTTTTTGTTATGGTAGTTAACTATAGTTTTATAAATTATGGCTAGTATTATGTCAAGTTATATATCAAAAATAAAATTTCTTAATCACATAAAAGGTGAGTGCTTTATTTCAGCAAATCATCTTTTTCGTTATAAATTTATTAAAACTAGCAGTTTTATATTAAGTTCAAATTTATATATTGAAAAATAATTAACAAATATCATAACTTTTACACAACCCACGTATAGTTGTTAAATTTGATTGTATTCATATTACTAACAAATTTATCTTTTATCTGCTTCTATAAAAACTTTAATGCTAAATGATGAAATTATATGGCCAATACTATTATTAAAGACATCTATATTCTTAAAGATTTGCAAAATAATAGGATTAACTTACTATTGAATTATTGTAGAGTCGAATTCAGAAGATTGATGACTTGCATCATTATCATTTAAGAGACTTTTGAGGAAATAGTCATATTGTTCAACAGTGCTTCTCATCAAAAATTTTGCTATAATTCCAGCTTCAACCAGAGTAATAGCAGAACAGCGTGTTAAATTAAGCAATTCTATCAAATGCCAAACCCCGTGCCAGTACCTTCTCTCTTGTCTTGCTTGAATATTTAAAACTGATTGCATCTTTGCGCTTACAAATCCGCGCAGTGTAATTTGAGAGGGAGACTTATTCTTTTTTTGTTTGTACTCATCATTGAGCATGAAAAGAAAGCGCCTTTGAGGTCATATAGCATTTTTAACCTCTTTGCATTGACTTTATGTTTTAATGAACTAAGGTAATCAAATTGAGAGTGCCATTCTTTTAAGTACTTTTCCAAATTTTCAATACTTGTTGAATATTTGAATAATGATTTGAATGAAATATTAACAATGTCATTTTTATCGAAGAGGACATCAAAATTTGTAGTAAGGAAACTTTCAATTGAATTGCTATTCAAGAAGTGTTTGTCTCTACATAATCTTAACGAATTATTTGTGAGTTTATTTTTAAGAACATTTGCCTTGTCATTTTTAGCCTTGCTGATATTATCTAATATTTTCAATTTAAATTAACATTAATAATGAGAAATACCAATAGAACTTTTTACTCTTAATAAAACTTACCACCATCTAAATTCAATTTTTCTATGACATTGGTTAAAGTTGCATTCATATTTTGTGATGTTAAATCATTGTTATCTGAAACTGAAAGTATATTAGTTAAAAAACTAGAAGATAAGATATTATTATAAAAAACTACATGCATACCAAGTCATAAAGTTTTCTTTTTTGAAATTTTATTTAATTTATATCGTTTTTCTGATTTTTAATATAATGCAGAATATATAATTATAATTTATACCATTTAATTAGCTAATAATAGAATGAAGTTTTCTCTTTTGCTTGAATAATTATTAATTATACCTCATAATCATGAGTGTCTTCGATTTCACAGCCTTCAAGTCATGATGATGATGATTCAAACTAAATTCAGTAATGAAATAATTAATTCTGATTTAAATCTAAAAAGAAAGTTTGCAAATGCGAATTTCTTAGTGTGCCTATTTTAATGTTACCTTTTGTGAATTTATTAGTTCATTACTTTTATTGTTAATTAACAGTGAGGTGGTTGATCCATGTGGTGTTGTTGAAGCTTGAAAATCATTTGCCTATATATAATTAAAAAAAAAAAGTTAAACCCAGTTGCTGAATTTAGAATGATAATCTTTAAGGTTAACAATTGAATTTGTTAGATCATTCGAAATATTATCTTCATTATTTAACAATGAGGAGACATTGTGCATTATTTCATCTACTTCATCATCGTCAGATATAACATGCTCTTCAGTAAGCATCTCATCTTCAATTTGCTAAAGTAGGTTTTTTTTTTTGTTAGTAAGTAGTTAACGTAAGTTACAGTATATGAGAGTTGCACAGGAAAAACCTGTAAGTAAATTTTAATTCGTAAAAATTTAACAAATTAAATTTTACTTACAGGCTTTCCTTGCTGCTCTCATATAAACCTATATGATATATTATAACTCTTGGGTAATCATTTTGATCAGCTGAAATTGAAATATTTGAAATTTCATCTTTATGAGTTGACGGCAAGGAGGCATCGAACATTATTTCGTCTTTGTCTGATAATACATCAATATGCTAGGGTTATATTATTGATGCATAATTAATATGGGAGATTAATGAAAAATATGTGAATAAGCGGAAACAAGTTTCTACTAATTCTAGTGGTTTTGAATTATACACAGATAATATTCAAATACCTTTTTTTTTACTTTTATCTCTTCTACCTTTATTCTTAGCTTTACGTTTTAAAACTTGCCTCTTTCAATTTGTAAGGTTAGTATAACTTATTTAGTACGGTAATAATTGAAAAATTGTCTTACTCTATATGAATTGGAATTTTTTTTTCATTTGACATGATCTTATCTTCTAGTTCATCAATTTGCGACGATGTTTCATTGTCACTTTCTTTTTGCTGAGTCATGAATTGATATTTAGTTGATATTAGAAATTTCAGATAAAATTATCATCAAGATTTTAGCACCTGACTATTTAAAGTTTGACTATTATTTCACTAAAAAAATTATAACTAATTTAATTTAGTTGATTTATAATGCTAAAAAAAAAAATTTATTTACCGTAACTTTGACAGCTTTGAATGTATTTATGTTTGTCAACGCATTTCTGAAGGGTTGACTGTCATTGATTGAGACTTTTGATGGTTTCTATAAAAATTATAAATCAATAAAAGACCAATAGATGGACAAGGACTTACTATTTCATTTGTAGGAGATATAAAGGCAACGATCATTTTTGAAAAGATTCTCAAAGAGACAAATAAA